GTTTTTTTTCCTCATCAAAACCGATTGTTTATTAGTGGTTATCAAGCACAGACATGTTTGTTTCGATTTCACGGTAACAAGAAGAGAGCCTCACCGCAATGGATTGAAGCGTGCACAGGGCTCTCAAGTGTCACTCATTGAGCGTGACAGTCACTTATTTCGGTCTTTTTTTTCACGTACTCTCGCCACACATTGTATTTCTCACGCTGAAAAAGTATTTATAATATATTTAATACGCCGCTGCGCCCTAAATGTCTCTGGCCTCGCCGCTCTCACTATGGAACCGGCTGGAATCAAGCGCGTCTCCCCTGCAGTTCTCATTTAGGCTATTATATGCATTCATTCCATTCTCCACTAACCCTTTAAAACGCTGCCTGATTTGGCTGTTCACTTGGGTTTGGAACATGATGGGTGTCTGTTCTGCCATAGATTGGCCCCAGAATGACTCTACAGCTGGTGAAGATATTAGAAGGCATGGGAGAGGGAAATGTGCTTTATCATTCCACAAGTAAGTATAGCTTTGTGTAAGAGACCGTCTAGAAACCAAACGTAGACTGAAATAAAACCTAAGCTGTGCTCTGTCTGCAGTCTCAAAAACAGAGGAGGAGCTTCAGGAGATGCTGAACAGGAAGGAGGCCCGTCTGAAAGAGAAAGCAGAGCGGAAGAGAAAACAAGAACAGAACGTTGCTCTAAAAAAAGAAAAACGTGACCAGAACAAGTGAGTATCATCTGTGGTGGTGATGAATCGCTAGATCTGGTGCAGTCTTGTGCTAACAGGCAGGCATGAAAACCCCTCACCACGGATCGTGGCCGTGGCCAGTATTTATTTACCCGCTATATCTCTTTAAAACTTTCCAGTGCTAAAAATAAGACAATCATCATTCCTAATGCTGATGCCTGACAGCCAGTCGGGGGTGCGTTTCCCGAAAGCATCGTTAGCCAACTATGGTCGCAAGTTCCATCGTTATCTGCATAGTTCAACGAGTCTGTGTTTCCCGAAACCATCGTTCCAACGAACATTCGCAAACAGCATCGCTAAGTTTTGTGGTTTGAACGACAGCTCTTGACCTGTGGTTAGAGATTTGGACGTAACAATTCCTTATCTTGAGTAAAATAAGCAAGCTGACATTCAGTACAACCGGTGCCTTTTATTTAGAATTCATACAAATGTAATTTACGTCTTTTCGTTTTTCAAAAGATTTAAAGTGCCGATTTTGAAGAGTGCGCATGTGTGAACGTGCTCTACTTTGTAAGAACAAGCCAAATATTGAGTCTGGTAATAAAGCAAAATAACTGAGAACAATTAGAAATAGTCCTCAGATGATGTCTGTAATTTATATACAAAGAATTAGGGCTGCACGATTAATCGAATTTTAATAACGATCGCGATTTTGGCTTCCCGCGTAATTCGCGTGATCGAGCGATATTTGAAATGCGTCGTTCCGTTTCAAAGGGTTTTTTTTTTACATAGCCAATCTAGCGCTCTGTAAACCACTGTCTGATCACGTGCCTGTATGAGCCCCAGTGCGCGAGAGAGACCGAGTGTGTCTGTGCGCGAGCGACAGTGCACAAAAGAGACGAAGAGCGCGCTCGAAAGTGCGCGAGCCATACCGAGTGTGTCTGTGCACGCGAGAGAGAACGAGTGACAATGCGTAGTGTTAGGGATGGGCAACGATTAATCGCATCCAAAATGCTATCCATTTACCATTTACCATCAAATATTTATATTTATATATAATATTAATTGTGAATAAATATATATAAATTATATGCATGCACATATTTCTTAAATATATACATGCACGTGTTAGTATTTATATATACAAATTAATTACACACTACACTACGCACATATATTATGTAAACACAAACTTTTATTTTGGATGCGATTAATCGTTGCCCATCCCTAGTAGTTATTACTCCACCACGTGCGAAACCAACGTGGTTGAATGATACTTTGCGACAGTGGGTTTCGGGAAACAGTCGTGACTAGCTAGTTGATTTCTCCAACGATGCATCGTACTATGGTAGTGAAGCAGCGAACTAGGGCAGAATTGTTTTTAAAGTATTTTACACCGCGAGTTTGATAACTGGACTCACTGCCGAACAATGAACTGCACGTCGGAAAGCAAGCCTGAGGTAATGTAGCTTACAATCTTAACTGTCCTGTCAGATACAGATAGTGATTTTGATTAATTTTAGATCAAATGTGATGGTTAAAATTGTTTCTATACAGTACAAGACTAATTATGAAAGTTTCCTTTATTTTCAGTGCATTTGTTTTACAATATGCTATTACTATCAAGTGTGATGTTCCGGAGTCCCTCTGGTCACACTTAGTCCAAAAAAAATTATTATAACTAACTCTTGGCCAAAAATTGGGTCAAATTGATGTGGTTGGTTGGCCTAGTCAATTGTGATTGGTCAACCACTTGGAGTACGTGTCAGAAACGTAACGCCGCTTACTGTAATTGGGACAGTGAACAGCTGTAAACAATATTATATCTATGGTAAATATGGCATCTTCATGTTAATTATATAGTACTTGGTCCTAAAAGTATTTAATTTCTTAAAGGAAAAGGAGCTTGGAGGGTATCAAGAGAAAGGGGCAGCAGGGAGGGCAGGTGTCTGATGATGAAGTGGAGGATCCTGGGAACCAGGAGGACAAGCCTCCAGCCGAGGAGTCTGAGGACGAAGCAGATTATTACAGACAGGCTGTAGGGGAGGAACCAGATGAAGGTATCATTTCACACCCAATTACTTGAAAGTTTTACTCTTATTATTTGCAGTGGTGGTAATTTTCTTCTTTGACTCCGTCTCAGACATGTTTCCTGGTGCAAAAAGGAAGCGTGGCCCCGGAAAGTCACCGAAACCCTTCAAGAAGAGGAAGCTGTCACCGGGGAAGGGCCCTCCCCAAGACAGGAAGAGTTTTAAGTCGCCTGATAGGGGAAAGAAAGCTGGTGGGCAGCGGTTTGGGGATAGAAAAGCTGGTGGGCAGCGGTTTGGGGATAGAAAAGCTGGTGGCCAGCGGTTTGGGGATAGAAAAGGGCTAGAGGGGAAAAACAGGTTTAGGAAGAGCGAAGGAGGCAAGAGGTTTGGCACAAAAGGGGGAAAGGGCAATAGATTTGCAGGGCCGAAAAAAGGAGAAGCTGGGAAGAAGTACGGCGGGCAGAAAACATTTAAAGGACGTGCTGGTGTGAAACACCAGAAAGGCGCTGGAGGAAAAAAGGACTTCAGACACAAAAAAGGAAAAAGCTAAAGGAAACGAAAATGAACCAGAAGGTGGGACTGTTGCTTCACTGATGCGTCAAGTCTGATGCATCATTTCCACGCAAACTTCAGCGTGATGTCAGACTTGTGCCTTGTATAAATGTTCATAGATTTGGATGCAATGCCAATAAAGTTTCAAACCGCCATGCAGCTTTTGTTGGGGGTCGTTCATATTCTTTATAGTGTCACTCAAGCACTCTAGTGTGCTTGTCTGTGCTTGTCTGAGCTTCACACATTGTTCTCTAAAAAAAGTGCACCCTTTGCAAGAGACAGGAAGTTTGACACCGTTTCAAGAGAGATTGTCGGAGTAACTTGCTTGGTAAGTTTTACCAGCTTGTTTGATTTTTAATCAAGTTTTCATTTTTTAATTATGTTTATACACTATTCGATACAATAAAAAAACTGCAGAGGATAATATAAAAGCAAGGCTTGTTTCTGTTGTGTTCCTCGTGTATATGTGCTCAGTACAAATAGCTGTTACGTTGTATTAACATGTTATACATGTGTCAGTTGAATAAAGGGTAATTGATGTATAACTTTTCTTGTGGATTTATTGGTTTGAATACATTAAGGTATATGTGCTTAGTCTTATTTAGTGAAAGATTTCTTAGTCGTATGTTTCCAAATATGGTGAAATATTGTTTTGGAGTTTGCAAATTATTAAATTAATTAACTTGTATATTAAAACAAATAACATTAGAAACAAAGCAATGCAGATATATTTTCCATCTCGTCATAAACGGCGTTTGGCATGTGCTGAAAAGACGTGTTTTGCAGTGCACGGGTTGAGCTGTTTTTAGTCATTACACTTGGCTAACCGCAGGGCACGTGTATCTGAATTACAGGAACAAGCAGGTAGTGATTTGTCTTTTTTTAATCATTGCATCTTTTATAAACTAAGCTAAATTTCAAGGTGTAAAATGTTGATTATGTAAAAGTATTTTGTTGGCTTTAACAAATAATTTTTCAAAAATGCATGGTACAAAAAACTACAATCGGATAAAGAGTTGAATCATAAACAAGGTAGCGATTAAGTAACAAATGGAAAATTATTGTTCTGTTATACAACTTGAAATCTTAAAAATTGTAGAGATACACAATCAAGTTAAATACTGTAAAGGTATTATTGTTAGTTCATTTCATAACCTAATAACTTAAGTTTTAAATTGCTTGACTTTTTTGATATGGAGTTAAAGCAATGTAAAAACATTTTTTTTTTTTACAGTGTAGACACTACTCAGAAGTTTTTGTCAAATAACTGGTCGTCACCTGTATATAGCTCTTTCTACAATACATATTTCAAAGCAACTTTACAAGTTTCGTTTCGTGTCTTAGGCCATCAATGTGTACTTAAATTTATGAGTCATTAAAACCATGTTTAATTTGGACTTCTCTGTGCATGCTCTTTGAGGTGGTGACCATAGACCTCCATTATTGACAGACACGAAGGGTTTGACCTAAAAATATCAAAGTTGAAAAAACTGTGGAAACAGACACCTACATCTTGGATGCCCTTGAGGTAAGATAAAACATACCAAAATTAAGTTCAAAGTGAACTATCCCTTTAAAGATGCCCTTATTGAAATTGTTTCCTAGGGCCATTTAACTATAAAATGATGCAATATTTGTTAATGGGGCTTTCATTCTGTTGGCAGATTTTAAACTAGTTAAAAAAAAACAGATTGTGCCATTTTTTTTTTTTTTTCAGGTTTGGCCATTAAAGCAAATACTCTTCATTCCTGTTTTTTGCTTCTGCATATTATAGAGCCAATTGGATAAATGATGCAGCTATAATTGTGTGTGTGTTGGTAAATCATTTTCATAAATTTAAACCTCTATAACTTTTTTTGTTTTGTTTTTTATTTCACCAATAATCTGCCATGGGTCTGCTTTAAAATTAGACCAAAATTGTTAAACGCTCAAGGGTTAATGCAACAAATATTGTTTTGGCTGTACAGCAACTCTAAAAGAAAGTCATTATCTAGCTTAAAGGCACGCTATGTGAGATTTTTGGATCAAAATGTCCAAAAAACACTAGAACAATATTATATATTTTGTCGATTTGTGTACTTGCATTATCCCAAATGTTTCTAAGAGAGTTCAAATCCAGAGAAATAAGCAGTTTTAACAGGACACGGACCATGTCCGTGCGTGGCATATCAATTACATGTAGGCTTTCAAAATGTTAGTATTTTTGTTTAAATCTCGCACGGCCTCGTTCTGCTCCAACGGCTTTCATAACGTTAATAAATCTTTAATACATGCCGTACCTTTTAATCCCACATTCCACCCAGTGTCCAACAGTGGAACTACAACAAATTATAGAGCATAATAGACTGCCGAAGTTATGATATCACTTTGTAGGCCAAAACGCGGAAGTGAAATAGACTGCCAAAGTTATGATGTCACTTTGTAGGCCAAAACGCGGAAGTGAAATAGACTGCCGAAGTTATGACATCACTTTGTAGGCCAAAACGCGGAAGTGAGTTTGCATTTTAGCACTTCCGGTTCCCTCGCCCTAAAGTCTATGGGTTTTTTGAATGGGTTTTTGCTAAATCGCCTGAAATAAGGTCTGTGGTGAACAAAGCCTCTAGATATTTTCACGTTTTGATCTCTGACATAAAACACACCAGTTATAACCTGCTTGTGGTTTTTTTAAACTTTATTTTGTCTGCTTGTGTTTTTAAAAAACTTTATATATGCTTCGAAATGTATACATTTTGGATTAACTTGTAAAGATTATCTTGATAGACAAAACGTGTAAGGGTCACAACTCTTTGTTAAACACAGGTCTTGTTTTTTTGCGATTTTCCAAAAATCTATGGGGAAAATGTATAGCTTTTCGATCTAGGGAACCCATGCGCCGCTAGCTTCCGAGTTGTCCTACAAAGTGACGTCATCACTTCGGCACTCTATGGCTCTTACAACCGGTCATCTATGAATATGATTTCTGCTTGAGTGCCGTTGTATGTTGCACCGGCTGTAAGACAATAACTCTATCTACGATTCCCTGAAATCAAGGCGTCATCAAGCCACGCCTTTGTTTTTGAATAAACAACCTCTAGTGGTGAAAAAATTACATAGTGTGCCTTTAAGTAAGTTTTTGATTTATTCTAGGGCTGTCAAACGATTAATCGCAATTAATCGAATCCAAAATAAAAGTTTGTGTTTACATAATATATGTGGGTGCACCGTGTATAATTATTTTGTATATATATAAATACACACACATGCTTGTATATATTTAAGAAAAAAATATGATTTATATATAAAATATTTATATTTAAATTATATATAAATCTATATACAGTATATACATGAAAATATTTCTTAAATATATACAAGCATGTGTGTGTATTTATAAATATAAAATAATTATACACGGTGCACCCACATATATTATGTAAACACAAACTTTTATTTTGGATGCGATTAATCGCGATTAATCGTTTGACGGCCCTAATTTATTCATTTCCATTGTAAAAAATAATACGTTATTTAGTGACACTACCAACTCTGTTTGTATTTTTAGGGGTCAGAGAACACCAGAGACAATGAGCAACAGTTCAGAATATATGTACAACTTTCAAGTCCTCCTCCTCCCCCCCATGTATGGCGTTCAGATGTGTGTGGCTCTGCTGGGGAACGTGTTTGCCCTGTGGCTCCTGGCGACCAAAGAGAGGCAGAACTGGCACAGTGGAGTAGTTTTCTCCTGTAACCTGGCCATCTGTGACATTCTTTACGTCCTGACCTTGCCCTTGCTCATCATTTACTATGCCAAAAATAAGAACTGGTCCTTTGGGGATGCTGCATGCAAAATCGAACGCTTCCTCTTCAACTGCAACCTCTACGCCAGCATATTCTTCATCATGTGCATCAGCGTCAACAGATTTGTCGCAATAGTTTACCCGTTCTTCACCCGGAGCTACGTGCTTCCTAAACACGCAAAGATCGCAAGCGTGCTTACGTGGTCCATCGTGATCGTCGCTTCATCACCGGTCTTCAAATTTGCTGGAATCGAATTGAAAGCAAACCACACTCTCTGTGTCTCATGCCATGATGAAAGCCTGCAAAATTCCCACTTTAAGTACAAGCTATCTCTTATGGTCGTAGGCTGCTTGATTCCTATGGTAGTTACCTTTGGGTCTTATTTGGGTGTGATTTGGACCATTCTGAAAAATAAAAACATAACCGCTCTGGAGAAGAGGAAAGTAGCTCTGTTGGTCTCTCTGGTCTGCATCCTTTACGCCACGTCATTTGTGCCCTATCACGTTCTGCAGACGTACCACGAGTATCTGAAGTCAGTGAAACGCACCAAACTCTTGGTGTATAATTCATATCAAGTGTCAAAAGGCCTGACCACCCTGAACATGTGCTTACATCCGCTCTTGTACATGGCTGTGTTTGACAGCATACGGACAACTTGCTGTGGAAGGAGCTCGGATGACTAACCTTCATTATATCTTTTGCCAAAATCTCACGCAGTGACATCCTGGATGACGATTTTCATCTTGTACTCTGTGCTCGAACGTCTGAAAACCACAAACCACATAGATGAATGAGAAACATGTCCTTGAGTTATTTTTCTATTTAAAAAAATTGTGTATTTGTATGCAAATAAGAACATTTCTGACTGTTACTGACAATTAAAATGCTTGATATGTGTTTGAAACTGCAAAAAAAATACCAATTAAAGATATTTAAGAGAAGACACAAAGTGTTATAAATAAATAATAGCATTAAATTACCCAGAAAATAACTTCTTTTTTAAAAAATTGTGGAATTGGGGTTTATTGAGCTCCAATAATATTCCAGTACATTGCCATTTAATATATTACTCTCATTGGACTTCACAACTAATATTGTTTAACTCAAGTGAACCTTAAAAGCTTCCTGTATTATATATAATATGCAAATGTGACACCATTCACACCATGACACACACCATTCACCATGCCTTGAGACTGGCATGGGGTACTTTCCATAAGATCATCTTTCAATGCAAATCAAACCAGCTATTAGGCTAACTGAAGTAAAACCATGCCAATCTCAAGGCATGGTGAATGGTGTGTGATGATGAAGGCCAAGGGAACTTTATCGGGATGCATATTATCCTGGATCCATGAAATAACTGGCTTTTAAAAATAAAAATCTGCCTGACTCTATGGGAATTTAACATAGCGGTGCCCAGACTTATGCACCCTGTATTTTAAGGAAAAACATTTATTTATTTATAATACATTATTCATTCACAAAGAAAATTGGTGTCCTTAAAGGTTGGAGTTTTCCTCATTTTTCTAATTAAGGCATTAAGATCAATATCCAAAAGATGATTTTTTATTCCTCTTTTTAGGCAACTTTAGCATGGGTGCCAACACTTATTCACACCACTGTAAATGAACACACAAAAAAAAATCAAGGAGATGATTCTGATTTGTTAAAGGGTCGTACAAAAAAAAAGTCACACTTAGCTTCTTCCCGGTCAAAAATGACCGACATAGGAAATGAATGGGAAATACGAAAAAACAGGAAAACTCAGAGAAACCTTTGGTGGTACAAGCTACAGATCAGCAACTGTGCAGAAAAAAGTGAAACAGCAATGAAGGGGTGACACTCTCAAACATCAAGAGTGCAAATAAGACCCCACCACACAAACACACACACGCACACAAACACACACACACACACACACAAACACACACACACACACACACACACAAACACACAGATAAATTGGTAAGACTGCAACAGCAAATTTGTAGAATATGCAAAATAAAATCAATAAATGAAAAAAAAAATCTTGCTCAAATGCTCACACACACACATACAGAGAGAGAGAGAGGGAGAGAGAGAGAGAGAGAGAGAGAGAGAGAGAGAGAAATTTACTGGTAAGACTGCAACATAAAATTTTGATAATATGCAAAAATAAAAAAATAAAAGAGACTCTCACTCAAATGCATCACACACACACACACAGAGAGAGAGAGAGAGAGAGAGAGAGAGAGAGAGAGAGAGAGAGAGAGAGAGAAAGAAACTGAACTTAATAAGCATTATTTTATGTTTATTTCTGTTCCATCATAATTGCTGTTCCCTTCTGAATTTTTTATAACTTATTGAATTTAAATTAATAAAAAATACCAATTTATTGCAAAATGTTTGTATAAAGTGTTTTGAATTATCACTAACCATCCCTTTTTTTGTTAAATTATTTGAATGATCAAATACTGAGTAACAAAAATCTTTGCATTGTGTTCTGTTTCTAACCAAATGCTGTAGTTTAATTGTAATCATAATGCAAAACCTGATACTTATTTAAAAATTTTGTTAAACTTTTTTTTTTTGTTAAACTTTTTTTAAACTTGTTAAAAAATGTTTTATTAAGCTGGCTCTCTATTTTGATGGGAAATGTTGCATTTATTGAAAAAATAAAAATAAAAAAAATATATAAAATAAAAATATATATTAATTCTAATGGAAAATACAGCTCATAAAATGCAAAGTATCATAAAAAAAACTAAAAATTCTAAATAATACTCAGAAAATATTATAGACCAAAAATATATTTAAATGGTTATCCTGGGAAAAAGTAAAGTTAAATTTTAAGTAGGGCTGTGCAAAAGTTAATTGCGATTAATCGCATCCAAAATAAAAGTCTGTGTTTACATATATATATTTGTGTGTGCTGTATATAATTATTTTGTATATATAAATACACACACATGCATGTATGTTTAAGAAAATGTGTTATTCCTATATAAAATATTTATATTTATATAATATAGATTATGTATTTATATATATATACAGAATTTAAGAGCAAATAATTCTTAAATATATGCATGCATGCATAGGTATTTATATATATACAAAATAATTATATACAGCACACACAAATATATTATGTAAAACAGACTTTTATTTTGGATGCGATTAATCGCAATTAACTTTTGCACAGCCCTAATTTTAAGACTTCGTCCGTTTTTGACCGGGAGGAAGCTAACATTAAGTGTAACCCATTTACGAAGAAGCCAAGAGGGATAAAGCAGCTTTAGAGAAAATATTCCCTTCTGCTGTTGAAGCTCTTGAGGCTAAGCTTAACAGTGTTTGCATTTCATAGGAAAAGTTAGTAACACTTTACATTAAGGTTCATTATTTAACATTAGTTCATATATTAATAACTAACATGCACTAACCATGAGCAATATATTTGTTACTGTATTTGTTCATCGTTGTTAATGTTAGTTTAGGGTTCGTTTTAACTAGTAACGAACCTGTAAAGTTTTGCCGAAAAGTTGCTATTAAATTTTTGAGGCAACATTTGTATAAGGCATTTTCTCATGTCCCTACGTAGATAGTTTAAATATAATTAGGATACCTGGTTTACCTAGAGGAAGAGGGGGGGAAAACTGCTAATTTTAGCATTTATCTTCTCCTTCTTCTCTCCCCTCCCCCCTCACGCCTGCAGTCGTCCTCCGCGCGCACAGGGGTCGCTGTAGCGCAGCGGGTGCTCTCATCGACCGCTCACTGTCTGTCCCGCGAAACGCTTCCTCTCGAGGCTCGAGACTACCCGTAAAGATGCCGTCGGTCGAATTCGACGAGTAAGTTTTTCATATCGTTTTTACAGACTCTTATTCCTGTTCAATAGGTGTCTAATGACTTGTGTTTTTCGACAGCTCAAAGCCGAGCTGGGCTGATCAGGTGGAGGAGGAGGGAGATGAAGGTACGAGGCCGCAGCGCAGCCTCCGCTTAAATATCATCACACACACGTGTTTAACACACACTCTTTCATTAAAATACACTCATTACACGATGAAGCCATATGAGAGCATGCTTTACAGATATAGAAACACTCAGATTATTGTGAAAGTACAGGAAGTGCCCACTGAAGAAGTCAGCTGGTGTTGTGGACGGTGGCTACTAACGTTATATGTCACTGTACTTATTTGCCATATTAAACAGCACTGTTCAATGTACTCTACTATAATGTTTACTTGTCAGTCGTGACAATTAGGCAAATGGAGTAAAAAATAGATGCAAAGAGGCTTTTTTTTTACACTACTTGGATATGTGACAACACTAAACATGTTAATATTCCATGCTGTCAATTAATATGAGGTCATACAACTGTAAAAATACAAGAATTATGATTATAAAATAGTATTTGTATTAGATAGCATGCTGTTCCTGCCTTGTGAACTTAATAACCATAGTAACGCATCTATAAGGGATTAGTTCATATATAAAATATATCTCAACAGGTTCACTTCCTTCGCCAAAAGAGACCGTCAAAGGTAACATCAAGACCGCCACAGAATACAAGATAGATGAAGATGGCCAGAAGTTTAAGGTCAGTAGTTTTATAGTATGTATATTATATAGTACTTGTGTAAAGGTGTCAGAAAAATCAGGTTTCATATTTGTCCGTTGCTCCTCTGGACAGATTATCAGGACGTTTAAAATTGAGACACGGAAGGCCTCCAAAGCAGTCGCCAGGAGGAAGGTATGTCTTCATTTGTACTTAGTATATTCATATCTAGGCCTGTCGCAGCCTAGATAGGAATATAATATCATGAATTTTGTGCCGATGATTAATTGTCAAACAAATAATTGCGATTAACAATTTAGTGTAAGCTGAAAAAGTAATAATATATATATATATAAATAATTGCCTTTTAACGTGATAAACTGAGCTTGAATGTTTTACTTAAATGCTATGAAACTAATATTTAAATTAGACTTCGAGTTTCTTTTGTGTACTTCACAACAATTCATTTTATATTCTTGAAACTTAAACTGCACAATTAGACGATTAATCAATAATCGTGACGAGCCTATTTATATATCCTTATTAAACATTTTGTAATCGATTTTATGAGAGATTGATTGTCTTTTCCCAACAGAACTGGAAGAAATTCGGCAACTCTGAATTTGATCAACCAGGTCCGAATGTTGCCACCACTACCGTGAGTGATGACGTCTTCATGACCTTCATCTCCAGTAAAGAGGTATGATAGTGATGAACTCCCACTTTTGGCACTGATCCTTACTAAGAAACGTGTTTTTAAAGTCAGCTCTAATTTGGTGCGAGCCGATATATTTTTCGTCCGTTTCACTTCCCTGTTGTACCGACGCCAACTTGAAGTGATTCTCCCTGCTGTTTTACAGGACTTGAATGCTCAAGACCAAGATGAGGACCCAATGAACAAGCTGAAAGGTCAGAAGATCGTGTCTTGCCGTATCTGTAAGGGGGATCACTGGACCACTCGCTGTCCGTACAAGGACACGCTCGGTCCAATGCAGAAGGAACTGGCCGAGCAGTTGGGCCTGTCCACGGGAGAAAAGGAGAAGGCAGCGGGTACAGGTATGTCAAGCATATTTTGGGGGTCAATTATTCTTATTTTTATGTAAATCAATATTTTTGTTTTGATATCTAGAGCCCGAGCCTGCCCAACCGGTTCAAAGCAAGACTGGGAAGTATGTTCCCCCCAGCCTGCGGGACGGTGGCACTCGCAGAGGAGAGTCCATGCAGCCTAACCGCAGAGGTGTGTGTGTTAGAGATTCAGATCTACAACACTGATGTTCTCCGTCATGAAGGCTAATGCTAATGTGTTGGTAATTTCTCTGCAGCGGATGATAATGCTACAATCCGCGTGACCAACCTTTCCGAAGACACCAGGGAGACGGATCTGCAGGAGCTTTTCAGGCCTTT